ACTACTGCCTTGAAGAGTGCCGTGAAGAATGTGCTGTGCAACATTGCTAAGAGAGTGGAAAGTAACTTATAGCATTTTACCATCTTCCCTTTCTTCACTTGAATCTTTTAAGTTTAAGATCAACAAGTTATTGTCGGTATTATTTTAGTGGTAATAAGAATAAAAAGGATGTATTTATAAAGGTAAACTTGCTGGTGACAGCTATGGTGAGAAACATAACTCTTCTTTGCAGCTCAGAAGGACAGGATGTGTCACTCATTTTGCATCATAATTTACAACTTAGATGTCCTTTGGCTTTATATTTCTGTAAATCAGCATGGTGTATCCTGATTCATAAAAGTTGCATCTGTATTAAAAGTTTCTATCTTATCTCCTCTCCTGATGTATTATGTTGTGCTTCTTTTATTAAGGACATTACTCAAAGATCTTGAAGGCCAAGGTCACTTGTGTGGGTCTGGATGCTCAGAATTATCAGGAAATTTCCATTTTTCCTTCCCTTTCAAGACCCTGCATATGCTCCTGACCAGGAAAATGTGCTATAGCCTTTCTGTCTGAACCATTTATTGTAATATTTAACAGAGATGCATCTGTAACACTAGTAATGAATCAGGACCTTTGGTGTACATAGTGATTACATTCTGTCCTTATTTGTAAAGTTAAAGTCTCTAAGCATTTTTTTAGATCTCACTGAAAATAATGTAGACATTTTCCTATCTTGATAGCATCCCTCTCTCTCACATGCACACGCACATGCACACAGACTTAGTTAAGTTTCAAATATCCTCAGCAGCAATGAACCAAATAGCAATGACGCATGTACTGTTTTGTTTAACTGTTCCTGTAGAAAAAATTATACTATATAGACGCAGAGTTGAAACAGGAAATGCAGATGGTGCAAAGGCAAATGGTACAATTCTATCATATGTTTGTGGGTAACAAAAAAAAAGATCTTAAGCCATCTGATAGTGGGAGTTTTATGCTCTATTGTCCTTAATTGCACTGAGTCTTAATGACGTTCATGTCCTTAACCACGCGTCTCTAACTTCAAATCACCTCACCCATTTCAGCAAGACTGCTTTGGGATTAGTTACTGTTCAGTGTAAGAAGGAGTATTACAATTTGGACCTTATTTAGAAATCATTTAGTTAACTGTATGCATTATGAACTATAGCTATGGATCTCCTTTTCCAACTGCACAGCGCTGTCAAGTAATATTCATTTGATAATGTCCATTAGGAGAACCACTTGTGTTATGGAAGTAGTGGAAAAATAAAGACCATTCGGTTCAACGAATTATAAATTCTTTCTGAACTATGTATAGCACTGACCCTGCTTACCTGTAATAATATTTCATTTACTTGCTTTGGCAACGTCTTGGCTACCAGTCAGAACCTGAATCTGAGTCTAGATATAAAGAGACTAACGTTCTTGCATACTGCCACAGAGAGCTTTAGGTCCTGTCCTGACATTGATTTTTAAATAGAATTGTCCATTAAATATATTATGGGAAATTCTGGGCCATATGTAAGAGAGGAAGGAGCTACTGTCTGTGATTCCATTACTATGACAGATTATTATCCTATCCTCAAACAATCCCTTTGAAATTGCGAAAAATAGTTGCCAGGTAACTCTCAATTACCTTCATGGTAGTGCTCTGGACCTTCTTATGAATCATACTGAATCTTGAGGGTTTTTTTCCTTTTATTTTTTTAAGAAATAGACTTCAGTCTTGTAAATGTAACTTGCCACTTGAACTTTGTCTTTGAACTTCATGCCAGCACTGTTCCATTTACAGGAACAAAGAAAAAAGGTATAATCCATCATAGATGACAGCCATTTGTTTTAAATCAAAGTTCTCTAATTTTAGCAATAAGCATAAATGGTGAAATAAACAAAAGCAGAGATATTTTTCCTTAAGAATGGTTAGGATACCACAAAGCTACCAGTTTCACCAGCCTTTCATTCTTTGGAATACAGATTTCAGAGAGAGATGAGGCCAGATGACTTCACACTGTCCTCAGAGAGAGAATTTATTAAGGCCAAGACAAGTCTAAATATCATACTTGATCCACTGACTGTTCAGCAGCAGAATTATCATAATTGTACTGTTCTCTCTGTCACCATTTCTCTGCTTTCCAAAGCACATAAAAATGCAATAAAATAATAGGCAATTTGTGCAAATAAATAACTCAGCATGTTGCTGTGCATTTTGAAAAGAAATTATAACTACTTTTGGGTTTCCTAACTATGATTTGTTCTGTCGTTTATTAATACTGTGCTTCTACGGTGATCCACATGCAAATAGAACAGTCAACAAAGCACCTTCTATGCCCCAGGAGCATGTTTATTTGTTTAAGTAAGTCTTCAGAGAGTCATGTTCTACTGCTGGAGAAAATAACCCTGAGTCAGCATTCCCTTCTGCTCTCCTCTCCCCCCTCCCTCCCTCCCTTCTTCACTCTGGCAGGAAAGGAAAACTATTTCAAACAACTTGTTATACAAAATGTGCAGAATTAATATCTGCATCTCAGTACTAGTCATGAAAGTTTATTGGTAGCATGACCAGACATTTCTTAAACTATTCAAAAATTATCACCTGTCTTCTGCACTTTCAATTGCAGGAGACTTTATAAGGTATTATGTTTAAAAAAAGGAAAAAAGCTGCCCTTACCAGAAAGACAAGTTTATCTGCTTTGGTTCTCTAAGAGTTACCCACTAGTTTAACTTACTTACTCCCTTATGTTGCTTTTCTGTTAGTCTCTTCTGTATCCCAGAAGGCAGGAGAGAGAAGTAGATAGCATCTACTTTTGACTCAATGGCCAAACTGAGAAGCAAGATCTCTATCAGTGAGTGGATGCAAGGCTTAAGGAATCTTACCAAGCCCAAGCAAGTTTAAGCTAGTTTAATTTAAATGCTGAGGGTGGCAGAAGAAGGTGCTGTACGGGGTTAGATTCCCCAAGACTAACTCAGGCCTGATCCAAAATTCAAAGGAGAACTTAATGGCCTTTGAAGCAGATCTTTGGATTCCCACCTGAATCTAGTGATGTGGTTAGCTGCCAGCATTGGTATGCTGTCATCGTTGGCTGATATTTTCAGATGTGGTGAAGTAAATAGCCTGATTTCTAGTAGTGTTCAGTACTCATAACCCCTAAGGACTTCATTACCATGTGGCTGTATAATTGGCAGTTCCAGCTTAGCACTCAAGCTTAAAAATTTCATTCACATTGCGTACTGTGTTCTGCTAAAAACAGGCAATGCTCTAGTATAGGAATGAACTTTACACATAAAGTATATAAAGTATACTTTACATATCAAGTATAACTTTACATGTACATATACATGCAGTAACTCATTCAAGCCTTTTCCCCTCTATTTCCACCTTCTCTCACTGATTCTAGATGCCCTAATAGTTTTGGAGGTTGAAAATTTTTAAGCATAGGCGAAGAATAGCACAAGTAACAGCACTGACAACTTTTCCATGTTTCTCTACCAAGATATTTCATCCTTGTGATAAGAGAACAGTCAAGTTTCTCTGCCTATGTTACCCATAGCCTTTGCTGAGATTGTCAGCAAGGTGGCCAACTAGAAGCGATTGTGACATTTTGTTCATGTGCGCGATACAAGACTGGCTGACTAGGAGTTGCTAAAACCACCAGCTCATTTCACAATATTTAAACAGCAAATTACCATACCTAGCATTTTTGTCAACAAGCTGAGGGGTTGATTGAATGGGTGTGTACATCCTGCATGGTGATTATTGTCAGCCATAACTCTTCAGCCTGTAACAGAGCGAGAACTCCTTTTAATTTACAAGACTGTCAAGACACTTGCAGACAAAGTGTTCAGGTAAGACTGGCTGTGCTTACCTTGAGTGACCTACATGTACTCTGCCAGACCTCCTTTGTACAATGAAAATTGATTAATGTGCAGGCTGTGTGAAAAAAAGGCATGACAGAAAAGGAGCAGGAAAAAAAAAAGAAGAAAAGTGCTGGCAGGCTCCAAAGTGAGAATGAAAAACTCTTGGAAAGCTGACTTGTACTCTGCATGAAAAACATTTCTACCCTTTATTGTGCCTATGAAAATGAGAGGGGATGGCAACAGGGCAACACGGTGAAGGATTAGTGCTTGTGGAATAGAAAGCAGTCTCGGAGGGAACACTCCTCACTGCACAAATAAGAAGAGTATCAGAGTATATGTCAGAGTAGAGTATTCTCAGATCCCTTGATACTGAGCCCCGTCACTACTAGTGATGTATATACCATTAAAATAAGTGAATAAATCATGTATATTATATTGGTGTTGCAGCAGACTATCTTTTGGAGAGCTCTTCCTCAGTAATTATTTGCAGTATGTCAGAGACCTGATAACTGACGCAAACCCATGGTCTCTAAGGACATTTACAGTATAAACAGTTTCTTCTCTTCAGTACACTCTTGGTTGAAAATTGCAAGCATATACTTTAATTTCCCACTGTTTTTTTAATTTCCTCCTACATCACTAACTTTATCATTAAAGACCGCACACCTGACCGTAGTTTTCTCTCCCTTCACCTTTGCCATGCTGCAATGAGGAGAGCTTTTAACATCTATTTTTTAGCATATTTACATTGAGAATATGCTGATCTTTCATCATGCATTAGGAAGAATTTCTTGATTATACAGTTATTCACATCTCAAAACATAATACCAGGTCTAGTTCCTTTCATTTTTTGTTTTACTTCAATATAAATTATACAACTTACTCTACAGTGCAAGGCCATTTCCCCCCAGTTTTCCTATTCCATTCTCCCTGTCATCCTTTTTCTTATAGCACTTATGTTTGCCTACAGGGATTCACCACAGCCATATCATCATTGTGGAGCAAACTGAGATCACAGCACTACACTTGAAACACTAGAGGTTGCTAAAGCCTCTGTTCATTGAGTTTTCCCAAATAAAACAACATGATAGAACGTACTGAATTGAAGAGTCATGGTACGAAAATTCCTCCTACTATAAACCTACCTAAACTAGCAGTAGGCAATTCACTCTCCGAGTTCTCTTCCTCCTTGACTGTTAATAAAATGCACAACAAAGGATCCAGTTCCAATGAGTAAAATGCATCTATGATAAATATAGGATAAATGCATGCAGGATCAAGGATTTCATCTTTAAGATCTATTTACTAGTCATCAGACACAAGAGGAGCTAAGAATAGTAGGTTGCCTTGTTTTAAGATACGCATTTTAAGAGTACTACCAGAAAAAAAAGGCATAACTACATTTTGAAAAGTAGTTATGTAAATTAACAGTAATTTTATGTAAAACCAGATACACATATTGTATATATGAGATTGTGCCTCACGTCAGACAATATCCCCACAAGATACTTCTCCAGATGGCTTTTTTGAATCTTACATTGCATACTTCTCATTGAGTTGAAGACTAACTGCTATAAAAAATTTGAGATATTTAGCACCGATTTAAGTATGTCTCCTACTCTCCTACATGCAAGCATTTAACTAACAATGTCCAGCCAATAGCTTTCTATTACAGTTCTTGCGATTAGCAAAAGCAATACAAGTTGTTACATGGTAGGCTGCTCCTTTCGTTTATTAAGCTTCTGCCTGAGTTGATTATCTAACAAGGGGAGCCTGTACAGAAGCACTAACTATGGCCATGGTAATCAATTTTCACAAAAAAAAGATAATTCTAACTGGAGTAGTTTTGTTCTCTAGCATCCCAGCTCCTGGAGTCAAGTTATTACACAAGGAATTCACATTAGGTTCTCTTGAAGAAAAACTACTTAACCAAGAAAGGTTGGTAATGTGACGCATACCCGCCATGCCCCCCAAAATGACAAACAAGTAGAAAGACACCCAGATGAGATATTTTTGGTAACTGCATGATTTTGTAGACTTAATTTATAATTAGTGAACACTTGGGGCTGCCAATCTGCGAATAGTCTTTGGAGGAACTGCTTGGGCCCCCTTCCAACCTCCCTTCCTGACAGGAATTTCTATGAGGGGGGCAGGGAGTTTATAACGAACTCCCCCTGACATCTGGACTAGGGGAAGCTAACAGGCCTTCTTTGTTCCAAGCAATGCCAGTGGTTTCCACTATGCTTCAAAATCCCCGAGAATTTTCTCTTTTAGGGAAAGGAAAGCAAACCCATGAGAAGAGATCCTGAGGATGGTAGCAAAATCTGGCCCCTGCTTCCAGCAGGATACACATGCAGGGGAATGGCAGGGCCAGCTGGCTTAGTGAGGCTCCCACTGTGGCAGGCAGGATGTCCCATGCGATGACATCAAATTGGAAGATTGCCCAGTTTACGTGAGCCTGTTGCATAGCTTCTGAGCAATAGCATGGGTTATATTTAGAGAGGGAGAATAATAGATGAGACATATGGTGCCTGATTCTCCTTCAGTTTAAGGCCTGAACCTCAAATCTACTCATGTACATGAACAGACTCCCATTGATTTCAATGGCTGAGAGTCCTCCATATCAGCACCGGTAACATGACAGACTTTATAATGCTAACGTGACATTCAGCCCAATGAAAATGCGCACAGTTTTCTTCTGTATGCCATGGATACTATAAAAATAACAGGGGAAAGATCAGCTGTCTTAGCTCTACCCTTCTTGTGAGGACCTGTTAACACATTGAAAGCTTTTTCTGCTTGACTTACTAAGACATTGCTAAACTTCTTCAACAAAACTTATTTTATAAATAAACATTGTTTGTTTCTATGGTTGGACAAACAGAGTTGAGTTTCTGGTCAAAGACTGAAGCAAAGTCCTTTTGATGGCTTAGTCATTCTTTGCACTTTAAACCTACATAGTTGGAGGAAGAAAAGTTGAAAGCATCTTGGGCTGAACCCAACTCCTTGTCTTCTGAGAGCCATGGTAAAGCAGTGCAAAATTATTTACAATGCAAATGAAAATCAATTTGAGCCTGTTCCTTGGCCGCTACGTGAAACAGACCCTGCTTTGTAATGCTGCTGATCTCTGTGTAGTCATAAAACAAAGATTTATTTGCTTCTCATCTCCAGCAATTAACTGCTACAGATGTCAGAGAATTATGCTGAATGAGTGTGCTGCGCCTTCGTTACTTTTCTTCTTTTGTCTGAGTTGCCGATTTTGAAAGCTGCCCAGCTATTGAAACTACTCTTAAAGTGCCTAAGATCAGAAACAAGCCTAGGGCAGCAACATGGTATGATACTGGAATAAATAAAGCATTTGTTGACTCATAACCCCTCTAGATCAGAAGCCTTCAAGAGTGTTTTCTGCTAAAATAAATAAATAGATCTCTGAAGTTAACTGATTGTTCCACATAGAACAGGCTCAACATTTATTTTAACATTTGCCTCAGTAGCACAAAAGCAGGCAGAAAGCTGCCCTGCAGGGGCAGCTGAGGCATTCCAGACAGAGGAGAATCCAAGTATGGCTATGCCTACTCCCTACCACCTGCTCTCCCCACCTTCTCTGCAGAAGACGTGTTAGCGCAGGGCAGAAAGTACAGCCTTAGGCTTCTTTAAATTATACAGAGGGCTAAACAGTCCCCAGCTGGCCCAGGATCAGAGAAATGGACTTAAGTTGCTTAAAGTCACCTTTCTCTCTGCTCATCCCACAGTCCTCAGCTGTGCAGAGGGTAAAATAGATTCAACAGAAAAGCCATCCTCAAGCAGAGCTTGGAATTCATTCCTTGGTCATCATGTCATGGTAGATCTTCTTTGACTGGGCTAACAAAGAAAGCCAGTAGTGAGCTAGTCATCCTAATATGTTCCCTTCCTATGCTCTCAGCTGCTGTTCACTCCATGCTGCACCGATATCAACTCTCAACTAAAACAAAGTGAACCCAACATTTATAGCAGCAATTTCACTTTAACAAGACATTGGATTGTGGTCTTCTCAGGACATGATTCTTTCCTAGTTGATTTGAACATGTAGCATAGGCTAAGCACATCGGAAACAAACAGTGACAAGCCATTATCATCAAGCATAGCTAAACAAAGAAGAGGCTGGCCTGGTTTATCTGGCAGTTCCCCACACTCGTAAGTTTTACATATTGAAGCCTTGATGTCAAGTGTAAGTGATGGAGGACCAGGCCCTCTGAGGCAAGAAATCACTTTTTTAGAGATAGATTCCTGAGCTATGGTATAGAATGTCTTACTTAAAGTTCTTTGAGGGGGTATTAGCTGCAAAGTATTTCTTAAGGTGGCTGCAGGGAAAGTGCAGTGATTTTAGCAATAATGACCCACTTCGATACTGTTAAATATGGGAACTTAAATTTTTTAGGCCATGGTGAATTAATGCTGAATTAGCTTCTAGAGATCTTTGTGTGGGATTGCTGTATATAATGCTAACATAAAATTCAATATAAAGTCACTCTCCTGTTTCGAGTTATTTAAAAATTGTGAAGCTGCTACTCTGAGTCCAGCAGAATTCATTCCTGAGTGAGCATGGCATGTCTGTATTGGTCGATGAGTAGGCATTCATCTTGAGATTTTCAAGATGGTCTAGCCTCCTTCTAGCTTCCTCTTACTGCTGTGAGGTCACTGTCCATAGATATCACTGCCTTCCCTGATGTATAGGCTTGGGACAATGTACTTTTTCTTTCATTTGATCACTCGTTGAACTGTGACCTTTCTTTCCATGCATGCAGATCACTCTGTAATCTGACGACTTGACTTGACTTGAGTCATCTATGTTAAACCACATCACTGATGAGCCAAAGCCAGCCCTAAAGTGATTCATGTTTGGTTGCCATATTCTTCATCTTTGTCATAAACTCAACTGCTCTCCACAGAGGCATTGGACCTGCTCAGATTCTGAAGAAAAGACTGTGCTTTTGATGCATATGCAGGGTCCTCAGGGAAAAGTTAAGGAACAATCTCCTTTACTGCGAATCCATTGCTGAGTACAGAGAAAAGAGTAAGAATCTGAAGTCTGCCCAGAGGAACAACAGTAGGTGTCTCCTGCCTCTGTGGGAGCCTGGCTGCAGCTTGAGTGAGAAGACTAACCGAATCCACGTGGATTGTTATGTAGCATCTGGGACTGCATTTTTTTGTAAAGACAATACATCCTTCCTGAGAAAGCAGAACACATGAGAACAACAGTCACGTGAGGATGCTGATGTCAGAAAGTGGGTGTGGGAGAAATAATTTTCTGGGAATCAAGAATTCTTGAATTGCAGGAAACTGGCCCCAGTTTGTCAATCTGTGCTTCCCATACTCATCCTGAAAATCTGACACACCTGGCCAACCTCATCAAGTCAAGAGCCCTGTCTCAGATTCCTCTATACCCTGGGATCTGATGCATCTCCCAAACTCATACTTTAACCAGATGATGGCAATTTTGAGAATGTAAATGCTGGCACAACAATGATTCAGGTATTTGTCACTCCAAAGGGATCTTAATGAAAAGGCTATGATCTTTGACCACTTCCCTGGCAACTTCCAGGCAACAGGTAAGCACAGATCATGCTTCTAATCTCAGCTGTTGCATTAGGGGTTAAAAAAATGAGCATGAGGTAAGGAAATAGCACTCACTTTACGTTTCTGAGGATAACAGATCCCTGCACAAATCTGGGACTCCACTGCATTCGCAACATCATGTGCAATAAAGACATTCAAGCAAGCTTATTTGGGGTCCTCTCGGTTTGAAGGGGAAATTTCACTAACTGGAAATAGGATGGACCAATTTGGCAACACACAGTGGGATATTAGTCTGCAAAGCAGGACAGTCATCTGCAGTTGTCCAACTTCCCAACTCAAGGAGCGTGTGTACATATCCTACCTTCACTAGCCAGCTGCCCTCCTCTCCCAACAATCCTTATTGTTAAACCTTATTCCCCAGTTACACTGGTAGTTCCAAGTAACCTTTAAAAACCAGAAAGCCATTTTCCCTGGAAATCACCCCAATACGGCAATAGGGTTAACATCCCTGTACATAAACATAAACAACAAACACAAAATAAATGAACTAAAGTGAACACAGTACACTGGTGTATGGGGCATTACTCCCTTGGTGAATGCTGGCTTGCACAGAATTATCAGGTTAATTTGGCAAGGGTCTGAGTTGCGGGTTCACATGTAATCTGGGTCAAACCTGCACTGCCATTGAAAGGAAAAGTTACAAAGATCCAGTATTAAAGATGATGGAGCCACAGTTCCATTGTCGGTTCATCTTTGGAAATCTGGAAATCCTTGGAAAGGGAGCTGAATGCAACACAGATGTCTTCATGTTGCAAGCCAAAAAAAAAAAGTTTGAAAGGTCTGACATTTTCAAAAAGAATGATTGTAAGTTCACATTTACAGTAGAAATACACACACAAACCAGCACACATAAGCATGTCTTCACATGCTCATTCTTACTAGAGAGATCTTTAAGATACTATGCTGACAGCTGAAGGATCTGCAGTATCTATAACGTATTTGATAGCCAGACTTCTGCCAGTGATACTCGCCTGGTGTATAAATGATTCATTTTTCAAGACTAAACAACATTTGTAGTACTGGCAAAAACAAAGAAAAAGGCTTCCCTTTCTTCTTAACAAAGAGGCACTTAAAACTTCTAAGTTTATGGCAATACTGATATATATCAGTATTCCTGATATATCATAAAACAAACCAAATTGTTAAATATATCATGGGCCAGGGCAGTATATCTAAACAGTAAGTATTTTAACAAGGTAATTAGATGCATGATAGGAAAGCATTATATGTATTTGTTTTACATGAATATTTTATTCAAAACCATGCAAGAGCTGAATGGGTAGATTTTAATCTAGCATTTTAAATTCACTCTTCTCAGAGGGCAAAATTACCATATTCACCTACAGATT